GATCGAAGAGGGCCTGGTTTGCGCCTTTTATGAAGAACGCGACGAACATCTTGAAGCTTTGAGAGCGGCTTTGGAGGCTCTTCCTTGGCTTTGATGGATTCCTCGATGGCTTTGAGAGCTTTGATCCTTCATCCGGCTCGGACATACGACGAAAAACGTTAACTTCATCGATTCGCCAACCAATATTGGATCATTTGTCCACATCGGTGACTTTTCAACGAAGAAAGCTTCGAAGGACACGAAGAACAATAAAGAACATTGCAGAGAGTCTAAAGAGACTTACCCTTGTGCGAGTCTTCAAATGAACTTCGGTGTCTCAAATGAACTGACCATGACTCCTATTTATAGGGGAGGGTGGCCTTGGCTTTCTTTTCGGATGGTGCCACGTGGATGGAAAGATTTTATAATCTTCCCTTTTCCATCAGATGTTGTTTTCCATTCTTGACGGATTTGATTGCGAACCTTCTTTTCTCGCCAAAATGTTTATATCATTATCTTTTTTAAAATATATTTATATACTTCCTTTATTGACAAGATCTTTTATCATTGCCTTTTTTTTTGGAAGATATTAATTTATATACTTTCTTTATTGACAAGATTAATTATTTTGCTGTCAAATTTATTATGGCTCTATTTATGCACGTAATATTTGTACGATATCTTCCATTTTAAGCATATTTTTGCATTAATGGTTGATATTTATTGTACAAAAATTAACATATGTGTATAATTAAATACCATATATTTATTTTATTGGAATTTTATTTTCTTCCAAAAGACATGATATTTATTTGATTTTAGACATATATTTTTAGTGTCTACAAAATGCCCCCTCGAGACTCTTTTAAGCCGACGCAAAGCGTTTAAGGCGTGAATGAGTCTCGAAACATAAGTCAATTTTTCTTTTTGACTGATTTTTTTTTTATGGCTATCCTTTTTTATTTTTTTAGCCAATATTTTTTTTTCTAAGGACTTTTTCTTTTTTTTTTCTTTTTTTTTGATGAGATTTTTTTTTTGTTCAAATGATTTTTTTAAGCTCGATTTTTTTTTGGACTTTTTTTTTTTGTTTTTTAGGGCTTTTCTTTTCTTTTTTTTTTTTTTTGGCATAATTGACTGAACTCGGAGTTATATTCCAAGTTGCCTACGTATCCGGTTAAGGAATCAAGTCATAACGTAGTTCAAAACAAATTGAATTTGTTTGTTTTTGTTAACAGTTTATTCTCGTGTTAAGGAGTCTTGTTAGAAAGTTTATTCTCATTTCCAGGAGATTATAGAAAGTTTATCCTCGTTTTTAGGAGATTAGAGAAAGTTTATCCTCATTTCCAGGAGTGTTGTAGAAAGTTTATCCTCGTTTCCAGGAGATTAGAGAAAGTTTATCCTTATTTCCAGGAGTGCTGTAGAAAGTTTATCCTCCTTTCCAAGAGATTGAAGAAAGTTTATCCTCGTTTCTAGGAGGGGTGAAGGTATGACTGCCACCACTGTTTGGAGTGTTGTATTTTTCGTCTTCTGAAAAATCTTCAGTAGGCGGTCCATACATTCCACTAGACATCATGCTCAATTCCATATCATGAGCACGAGTGGCGAGTTCTTCAAAAGTATGGGGTCGGATCCCTTGTAGGATGTATTTCAAGCTCCATTGCATCACTTGAATGCATATTTCTATGCCGGAAGCCTCGGACAGACGGTCTTTGCAGTTGAGACTTAGACTTCTCCAGCGGTTGATGTAGTCAATTACTGGTTCATCTTTCCATTGGCGGCTGTTGGTGAGTTCGGTCATGCTGAAGGTTCTCTTTGTGTTGTAGAACCGATTGAAGAACTCGTACTTTAGTTGTTCCCAATTGTCGATGGAACCAGCCTCTAAGTCGATGTACCAGTCGAAGGCGTTGCCGTTTAGTGACCGCACAAATTGTTTGACTAGGAGGTCTCCATATGTTCCAGCATCGTTGCATGTCTCGACAAAGTGCGCTATATGTTGCTTTGAGTTGCCTTTGCCGTCAAATTGTTGAAACTTTGGTGGTTGATACCTCGTAGGCATTTTGAGGGCATCAATCCTTGCAGTGTAAGGCTTGGTGTAAGTGTGCGTCGGCCTTGAACTCCCTTCGAATTCTCTTTTGATTGTCCATTTGATGTATTTGTCAAGTTGGGATATATGGATGAAGGAGTTGGATGATCCTTGAAATGGATTTAATTCCGCCACCTTTTCTTTGCCATGACGTCGCTCCAAAAATGTTACCGCTTTATTTTGGACCGCTGGGGAAGATTGTTGATTTTCAGTTGCATGGCCGGCTTCTTCAGACTTGTCCAGCTTTGTGAGAAGTTTTTCAATAAGGGTGTCTTGTTGTTGCATGTGTTGAGACATTCCTTCAACGATTTTGGCCAATGCTATAAGTTGATCTTCTATATTTGAAGTGTTGATAGTCATCACCGGAGCAAAGCTTGATGCGGTTGAATTACTTGAAATTGGCCGATGAGTAGGTGGCATGAAAGTACCTTTGAAGCTTTTATATTCCTTGAGAAGACTTTGATCCACAATCTTTGGATCCTCAATATTTGAAGCGTTTGTAGTCATCACCGGAGCAGAGCTTGATGCGGCTGAATGACTTGCAGTTTGTTGAGGGGTGAACAGTGCGGCAGTACTCTTAAAGTTGTCGTCTTCTTCATAGAGTGGACTTTGCTCTGTGATTTTTGGAGAAGTGTCTTCAGATAACAACAATGCTCTTTTGGTCATGTTTCGTGTTGTCATTCCAGTATTTGTCGAAGCGCTTGAGGTTTTGGACGCGATGGGTGCGCCAACTTCTTTGGCAGCGATGGTGGCTTGAGCAGCAACTTTTGACGCAACGTTGGAAGTCTTGATCTTGTAGGAAGCCATTGGTTGTTGAAAGTTCGTCGGAAAGAGAGATGAAAGGTAGAGAGGTCCCACTGGGCGTACCAAAAATATGTAGACAAAAAATTATGTTATTCTTAATAAACACAAAATTTGTACAAATTATATTTGATTTGAATTTAAAGTGGGTCATATTCTCTAAATGGGTCCTTTGATTCTCCTTCCGAGTCGATTTGTTTTCCAACTTAGTTTTCGATGGCTTCTTTGATCCGAAGAGGTTTGGTCTTCGGTTTGACTTTGCCGGCTTTTGGAGAGCTTTGGTCTCCGTGCGGGCGATTTGATCGTCGGCTTTGGATTTGATGTCTTTTTTAAGACGGTCCGAGACTTTGATCTTTGATTTGGCTTTGCCGCCTTTTGGAGGAATTTGGTCTCCGCGTTGGCGATTTGATCTTCTTTGGACGATCCGCGACTTTGAAATTTGTTTTGGCTTTGCTGCTTTCGGAGGACTTTGGTTTCCATATTGGCGATTTGATCATCGTCTTTGGATTTGTTGTCTTCTTTAGACGATCCGCGACTTTGACCTTTGCTTTGGCTTTGCCGTTTTTGGAGGACTTTGGTCTCCGCATGGGCAATTTGATCATTTGCTTTGGATTTTGGACGATCCGCGGCTTTGATCTTCGTTTTGCCTTTTCCGCCGTTCGGAGGACTTTGGTCTCCATGTAGGCGATTTGATCATCGGCTTTGGATTTTGTGTATTCTTTGAACGATCCGTAGCTTTGATCTTTGTTTTGTCTTTTCCGCCATTCGGAGGACTTTGGTCTCCGCGTGGGCGATTTGATCATCGACTTTGGATTTGGTGTCTTCTTTGAACGATCCGCAGCTTTGATCTTTGAGGAGGTAGATTTGGTGCTCCGTAACGCTTTTGGCGGCGTGTCCTTTTGACTTTTGGATCGAAGAGGGCCGAGTTGTTGCTTTGGCGAAAAACGCAATGAACACCTCGAAGCTTTGGGATGAACTTTGGATGCCTCCCTTGGCTTTGACGAATTCCTCAACGGCTTTGAGAGCTTTGATCCTTGAAGAGGTGGATTTAGTGCTCCATAGCGCTTTTGGCGGCGTGTCCCTTTGAATTTTGGATCGAAGAGGGCCTGGTTTGCGCCTTTTATGAAGAACGCGACGAACATCTTGAAGCTTTGAGAGCGGCTTTGGAGGCTCTTCCTTGGCTTTGATGGATTCCTCGATGGCTTTGAGAGCTTTGATCCTTCCTCCGGCTCGGACATACGACGAAGAACGTAAACTTCATCGATTCGCCAACCAATATTGAGTCATTTGTCCACATCAGTGACTTTTCGACGAAGAACGCTTCGAAGGACTCGAAGAACAATGAAGAATATTGCAGAGAGTTTAAAAAGACTTACCCTTGCGCGAGTATTCAAATGAACTTCGGTGTCTCAAATGAAGTGACCATGGCTCCTATTTATAGGGGAGGGTGGCCTTGGTTTCATTTTCAGATGGTGCCACGTGGATGGAAATATTTTATAATCTTCCATTTTCCATCAGATGCTGTTTTCCATTCTTGACATATTTGATTGCGCACCTTCTTTTCTCGCCAAAATGTTTATATCATTGTCTTTTTTGAAAGATATTAATTTATATACTTCATTTATTGACAAGATCTTTATATCATTGCCTTTTTTTTTGAAAGATATTAATTTATATACTTCATTTATTGACAAGATTAATTTATTTTGCTGTCAAATTTATTATGACTCTATTTATGCACGTAATATTTGTACAATATCTTCCATTTTAAATATATTTTTGCATTAATGGTTGATATTTATTGTACAAAAATTAATATATGTGCATAATTAAATACCATATATTTATTTTATTGTAATTTTATTTTCTTCCAAAATATATGATATTTAATTAATTTTAGACATATATTTTTAGTGTGTACACTATAATTTGACTTGGAACATATATATATATATATATTTATAAATAATGGTGTATTAAATATCTAATTTTGTTTTGTACTACTCCAAAAGATGTATTAAGATTTTAGAAAGTTGTATCTAATCCGATCAGAAATAGAGTATTTGAGTGGTGGTAGTTTTGTCATTTGACGTCGGGATTCGTCATCTTTATTATACTTTTCCACTCATAAAAGCTAAGCCACTGCAATCCCCCACTTTGTTCCTACCTTGCTTGGATCGCCAGGCACAGGCACCACCCTCTCCTCTCTTCCATGGCGGTTACGGACTTATTTGCCGGCGAGATCGCCGCCGAGCTCCTCAAACATCTCATCACCATCGCTCGGAAATCCACGTCCTGCCGCTCCAGCGCCGAGCAGCTCATCCACTACATCCGCGACCTCCTCCCGATCATCCAGGAGATCAAGCTCTCCGGAACTGAACTCCCACAGCATCGCCAGCGGCAGCTGGATAATTTCTCCGAGATACTCTCCGGCGGCCTTGAGTTGGCCAACAAAGTCCTCAATTCCCCCCGTTGGAACGTTTACCGCAACATCTGCTTAGCCAGGAGGATGGAGAAATTGGAGAGAAACGTCTCCAGATTCATGAAAGGCCCCATCCAGGTAGGACATGCGTAAAGAGCTTCACTCTAGTATCACTTATGTTTTCGCCTCTCATCTTCTAGAATTGCGATCTCCATTCTAACCGTCGCGCGCAGGCGCACGTACTGGCCGACGTGCATCACGTGAGGGTGGGAATGGACGAGAGACTCGATCGGCTGGAGTGGAAATTAGGATCCATGAAAATCGGCGTGGAGGAGGGCGGAGGCTGGTTGGGTGCTGCGGTGAAGAGAGTGGAGGATGAGGAGCGTTGGTGTGAGGATAATTTGGTGAATTTAGGGTTCACAGGACTGGAATTGGGGAAGATGAAGGTTAAGGAGATGCTAATGGCTGACAAAAAAGGTCTAAATCTAAACACCTTCAGTGTGGTAGGGATTCATGGAATTGGTGGCATAGGGAAAACCACACTGGCTAGAGAAATCTGCAAAGATCACGAGATCAGAAGTAAGAATTTTCTTGCTAAATTTGAATTTGCACACCAAGTGTTCGATGAATTGACACTCTGCTTTTCCAGGTCATTTCAACGATAAGGTTCATTTCCTTACAATATCTCAATCTCCAAATGTCGAGCAATTGAGGTCTAAAATACGGGGAATGGTGTCGGGGAACACCACTGTCGGAGATAGGTTCCCCCAAATCAAATTAGGATTCGAAGATGTCGAAAGCTCCTCGCCGCAATCTCTGTTGGTTCTCGATGATGTTTGGACATTATCAGTGCTCGAGCAGCTACTGATCAAGATTCCGGGACTGAAAATCCTCGTCGTTTCGAGGATAAAGTTCCCTCCTTCAGTCGTCGAAAACTCCTATGAATTGGATTTGTTGACTGAGAATGAGGCCTTGTCCTTGTTCTGTCACTTTGCTTTCGGGCAAACATCGATACCTATAGGCGCAGACGAGGCCTTGATTAAGGAGGTACTAAAATTTTTCAACAGTTTCCGAATTCTTTTGATCTTTTTCTTGCCGAATTTTGTGCTGATTCCGTATTTTGAGTAGGTTGTGGATGAGTGCAAAAGGCTTCCATTGGCTCTAAAAGTGATTGGCGCTTCGCTCAAGGGCCAGTCAGAGATGTTCTGGACAAGTGCCAAGAATCGACTCTCGCGCAGCCAGCCGCTGTGCGAGTCTCACGAAGTGCAGCTACTCGAGAGAATGAAATTGAGCATTGATAATCTATCCGACAAGGAAAAGGAGTGTTTCTTGGATTTGGGTGCCTTTCCGGAGGACAAAAGAATACCTCTGGACATACTTATCAACATGTGGGTCGAACTTCGCGACATCGATGAACAAGAAGCTTTCGCTGTCTTGGTTCAGCTTTCGGATAAAAATCTCCTCACCCTTGTGAAAGATGCAAGGTTTCTTCCTCCGTAGATTTACATATATCAAAAGAACTACTTTGTCCGAATCTTGCTTGTCTCAATATTGGTTTGAACTCACACTGCAGGGCTGGAGATAAGTTCAGCAGTTACTACGAAATTTCCGTGTATCAGCATGACGTATTGAGGGATCTCGCGATACACTTAAGCAATGCTGGCGGCGTAAATCAGCGAAAAAGACTTCTAATGCCGAGAAGAGAAGCGGCGCTCCCGAAAGACTGGGAAAGGCACGCCGACGAGCCCTTCAACGCTCAAGTAATCTCAATACACACAGGTATATTTAGCGAATGTCGAAAATTTAGTTATTGCGACAAATTTGTGCAAAAGATTGAAGTTTTATGCATCCAATTACAGGCGAAATGAGTGAGATGGAGTGGCTACAAATGAACTGCCCGAAAACGGAAGTATTAGTCCTGAATTTCTCGTCGAACACCTATTTCCTGCCTCCCTTCATCAAAACGATGCCGAAGCTTAGAGCCCTGATACTGATCAACTACAGCAACACCAACGCCTTCCTCAAGAACGCGTCGGTTTTCAGCAGCTTAACGAATCTCCGAAGCCTCTGGTTCGAAAAGATCGCGCTCCCTTTACTACCCCACACGACGACGCCCCTCGAGAACTTGCAGAAAGTCTCGTTGGTTCTCTGCGACATAAGCAAGAGCATCCACCACTCGCACGCCGACCTACCCCACCTCTTCCCGCGGCTCGCCGAGCTCACATTGGACCACTGCATCAACTTGTCGGAGCTCCCGTCGAGCATCTGCCTAATTCAGACGCTCACGAGCCTGAGCGTTACGAACTGCGACAGTCTTGAGGAGCTGCCGGAAAATTTAGGGAGACTCGGGTCACTGCAGATTCTGAGGCTATCGGCGTGCCCAAATCTGAAGAAGCTCCCGCCGGGAGTCGGGAATTTGGGGCGTCTCAAGTATATCGACGTCTCGCAATGTGTGAACTTGGGGAGCCTCCCTGAGGGGATCGGCGGGTGCGCGAGGCTTGAGAAGATTGATATGAGGGAATGCCCGCAGATGAAGAGGGTGCCGGGTTCGGCGTTGGGGCTGGCGTCGTTGCGGCGGGTTATTTGCGACGAGGAAGTGTCGTGGCTGTGGAAGGATGTGGAGAAGAGTAGGCCTGGTTTGTGCCAAGTTGCTCGGGAATGTTTCACCCTGGATTGGCTCGATGAGTAGCGATGGCAGATTTCTACGTTATTATAGAAAATAAAAAAAAAAGTTGTTTTTTAGAGTTTGCAAATTTTGAATAATTTCATCATGCAGTTAGGATGTAAAAAATGAATGGCAATGGGGATGGAAAGAATTAGAAATTATTTGTCGATTCTTAATTATTTGTTTGGACTTTGGAAACAATTGCCACAAATGGATGAATAGTTGACTGGATGTTGGATATTTTTTATATATAATACTCTCTCTATTCCAAAAAAATTGTCAAAATTGTCTTAGACAATTAAGGAATAATAGTATTTAATTAAAAGTAAATATAAAATAAAAGGTAAAAGATTAAAATATCTTTACTTTTTGAATGATTTTAAAAAGTATATTAGAGTAATAATTATGGATAGTTTGAAAAGGTATAAATAATTTTGTTATAAAATTTGAACCACAATTACTAAAGAAACAAGATAATTATTTTGGAAAGACGAAAATAGAAAAATAAGACAACTCTATTGAGATGGAGGAGCAGTATCTTTTGTTATTCTATATCATTTAAAATTGTAGTTATAAAAACAATTATTAAGATTAAATCAGTAATATTTTATAATATCCATTACTCCTGTATTAAACGGAAAGTTAGATGATAGAAGAAAAATATATATATATTTAATTTTTATTTAAATAATATGATTAAATAAATTATATTTAATTATTTTTTAAAAAATATTACAAAATATGCAGATAGATCAAAATAAAAATTATTACAAAATATATGGATGGATTAAGTATTATTTCATCTATTCCGCATAAAGTAATCATTTTTTTTTTTAAATTTTGTAAATCTACACCATTTGTCTTTTCTTTTCTTAAAAATATAAGAATATATTTTAATTATATTTTAAATTTATAATTTATAATAATAATTTTTATTAATATATTTTTTAATTACTTATTAACTATAATTTTTATCTAAATTTGTATGTCTACGGTAATATTAACACTTTTTAATGAGATAAAAAGATATTTAAGTTTGTCTATTTATAATTGTTAATTTTATCATTAATAATATAGGAATCTCCGAAATGTAACAAGAGTAAAATCAAGAGAAGACGCGTGGACCCATGAGAATGAGATCTGATTTGATCGAGTAGTCATCAATTCAGACCTTCTTTTTGTTCTTATTTATTTATTTATTTTATACAATATTAAATAAGTACTATTCAATTAAGATCTTTTGTTTAGCCACAAATTTTTGAAATTTTAAAAAGTAATAATAAAAAATTAATATTTAATTTAATATTTTGTAAAATAAAAAATAAATTTGATGTAATATTTTTTAAAAATAAATAGTGAAAAAAAAAAAAAAGCGAAAGTGTCAATTAAACAAAGCCCTTGTTTCTTACAAAACATTTGTGCATTCAAATTTATGGAGTATTAATGATTAGGGATGTCCACGGGGCGGGTTTGGGATGCGTTCTGCAGGGCCCGAGATCCACTCCGCTAAAAAATATTAGGATCCGAGATCTGCCCCGCTTTCACCCGGCCCTAGGATTCGTCCCGCCCCGAATCCTTCGGGTTCGGAGCCAACCCGACAAACCCATTTTTTTAAAAAATATATAATAATAAATATTTTTTTAACAATAGAATGGTAAAACAAATAGCATTAAAAGTACAAAAATAAAAAAAATCTAAAAACAATCAAATATTAATCCATAAAAATAAGATAAATAAATAAATAATATATTTTTATTATATAAATATAGATATATTAGGTATAATAATTTTAAAAAATTATTTAGAGCAAGCGACTAATTGAATTTTATATTTAAAATTGTTTAAGTAAATAAATAATATATTTTTATTATATAAATATACATATATATTAGTTATAATAATTTTAAAAAATATCCGAGTTCGGATCCGGATCTGAGTTGAGGCGGGTTTTTAGTAAAATTCGTAACCCGCCCTGAACCCAGCCTGGTTTAATATTTTAAATCTACAACTCGCTTCGAAACATATTATTTAGATCCGAACCCACCCCATTAAAAACGGATCCGAGGCGGGCCCGGGGCTAACCCGGCCCGGGGCTAACCCGCCCCATTTGACATCCTATTAATGATAAGTCACAAGAAACAGCGCGGAATCTGCCAACGTCAATTCATTCATAGTACATATGATTATTGCCCATCATATCAATAAATAAATTAATTAACTAAAATACAAAACATTGTCTAAGACCCTCTTTAGACAAAAAGAAAAAAAAAAAAAAAAAAAAGAATAAAAAGGTGTGATATAGGTACGATTTTAATTTTGAATTTTTAATTGAAAATAATAATTTAATATAATATAAATATATATTAATATGATTTTTTAATATAAATTAAATTTTCATATAATATAATAAATAAAAAATAAAGTTCTATTCGTTGATTTTCCAACTCCAATGGGCATTATATTTTCAATGTTTTTTTTTCTAAAAAAAATCTATTTAAAATTTAGTCATTTTTTTAATAAATAATTATATTTATATACATTTAAAACTTATAATTTATTTACAAAATATTTTATGTTAACTATAAATAAATATTTATATTTTTTTATTATATAAAATTTTATATTTTACAAAATAATTTAAATATTGTATATATTTTATTAAAATAATTAAACATATATTTTTAAAAAATTTAATGGTGTATATATATTACATCATAAATTAAATATTAATTGAATAAAATCACTTTCGATTTAACTTTAAATACAAAAATTCAACCGATAACCAAACGCACAATGAGTGTTTGATTTGATAGTTTTTCGGAGAAAAAAAAATTAAAATAATAAAATCAAATGTAAAATATTATAACTAAACACACACTTAGGAAGTTTGAAAGATTTTGAATTTAAACTACATCTTTTAAAAATATGGTAGAATTGGATTTAAATCCCTATTTGCCAAAAATTATTTACATTTAGTTTGTATTTGATAAAACTAGGGCTGCACTCCCTCCCTTTCTATATTATTTATTTTTTCCTTCATTCCCACCCTCCTTCTCCACCCAACGAAAAAGAAACCTCTACAATTATTTTTCGATCGCAAAATCCATGAAGAAACACCGGCAACTACAAAATTGAACCTGCCGTGCTGGTCGCTCACACTCTTTTGATCTTCATCACTTATTCATTCGTCGGTTGTCGATCTCGAACACCCATTGCTCCGCGCCCAAATCGAAAGACCTCAATTTTTTTTAGGTTAGTAACTATATATCAATTAGGGGTAAAATCAGGGTATATTGTGGGAAATTATAATGCCCTGCTCGATGATGCTTACTCACATTTAACAAATTTTCAAACATATCCATCTGTAAATATATTCAAAATCTATTTGCGAATATTTGGTTTTTCAAGCGATTGAATATTGAAAATTGTGTGGATAATTACTCATTTTTATAAGTTAACTAAGATCATGAGAGTCATCTTCAAGCAGAGATAGTTCATTTCTTATGTTGAATATACCCGCTTGATGGGAGGTTGTCACCAATTTGTTTCTATATTGTTCCAATCAATGTACTAATCCTCATGTTTCGTCTGTGTAACCTGGTCGATCAAAGAAAACGTTATATTCCCAATAGATAAAAGCAAGTCACAAAAATACAATTCTTGTGGTCGTCTCGGGCACAATAGAAGAAACTGTAAAGATCGGTTGTCGTAGTCCTTTCGGATGTTGTAATGTTTGGCTTTGTCATGGACGTCTTATTTGACGTGTAATTACTTTTTTCGTGCTTGATATAATGTAATATTTTAGTTAATTATACAACAACAAGACCCCATTTGCATAGAACCACAATTATAATTTGGATGTATTGTGGTACATGAACACGAAAAATGGGTATTTGACACTCTCATTTTATATATAATAATTCATTAACACAGGTATCATGAAACGTAACAGAGACATATATGTTATCTGGGGGGTATTTAGTTGCTCTTTCGAAGCACAATGACATTTTTTGATATTACAGTCTTATAGACAATTGATTGTAATTTGTATGAAGGAATTGGAGCACGTTGTGTTACATCTGTTAGACCCATACACAATTGATTGTAATTTGTACACTAAAGGGAACGGTAGAATGTATTGACGTACATAGACACGAACTTCGGATTTGAAATAGTTCTCATTTTTTCTATGATACTTAAGCCAACAGTTTATGAGAACTTATCAAAGCCACACAACTTATTTTTATATTAACTTTCCCAATTGGTGTATCAAAACACTCTGGCATAGTAGCTTATGTAACAATTTATCAAGGTCACTTTCGGTCATATCTTAAATCTTCACAAGTATTAACAAGAGCTATGAAGGTACGAAGTTAGGAAACCATGTCATAAGATTAGATTTTTCAGTTACATAAAACACTATAATAGGTACGCATAATTTCGTACACGAAGCCAGATTGGGGGTATAGCACAACCGATCTGGAGTACTCACTTGCTCAACCGAGTCAGACCCTATGCTTAGATGCCCTAAACCAAAAATTATTGTGTGCGCTATGGTCTGGATTAATATGTAATAGGTCTAAAAAATTTTTGTTTGTGGCAGTAGTCGTGTACTATAACAACCAACATAATTCAACTTAGTCACTTATGACTTGATTAGACATCTACAAGTGAAGGTTGAACTATGATAGCACATATATCATACAACCTAACTTAGTCAATCCTGACTTGTTTAACCATCAATAAAGAATACGTGTTGTTTACCTATTCTGACATTTCAAAGTGTCTTAATAAGACTACTATGATAAACTCATCTCTGGTTACCGTCAGCAAGTGAAAATTTCGAACCACAAGCGACTCTACCCTAACCACAGGTTACCAGGGCATATAAACGCTTTACAGAAGCATATGAGACCATAATTATTAGTAGTTAGTATCATCCCTAGGGTATGTAGTTATTCTATGTAGGTACGTGAGAATGTGATAAAGGTACAAACCCTGACATGCGAGGTATAAATAATGGTCCCTCGAGTATTATCTGTGTAGTACCAGGTATCCTCAAATGTAGTTGATTACAGTCATTCAAAACACATAAGGATCAATTCGCATCACTTCCTTTCTCAACTTTGGTGGACCGAATGTTGCGTATGCTACAGTTTCG